AAATAAAAAACAAAAGTACATACAAATGACCAATCATATTAAGATAGGTCACGCAGTCCAGGGTAGGCGAAGATTGAAGTCTATTGTGTTGTTTTTGTACACACAGTTTAGGCTGTATGTGATTAATCCAAAGTGCTTCCATCACCTTCAATAACCGAACTTGAATTAGAGTTATGTGAAATAATTATGAAACAGTCATTAATATTTATTTTGTGACCAGACATTAATAAGTGTTTTGCAATGGATGATGCTGGATTTCTACTAAGATTAATCGCGTTAGGATTTTCGATATGATTTACTAGCCATTTTGGAACATGTTCTTTTCGACGACATTGGAATATTCTGTTAGTTCTACCTATATAGGTGTCACCGCAGCTGCAGGTGAACTAGTAGATACAGTTTGAAGTAGAGTCCACAGGATTTCGTCCTTTTATCGTAGGAACAGGGATCGAAAATGTTCGGCAAGTGAGAAAAAGAGATGCGGCATAGAATGTGCGTTTGATGGTTGATTGGTCATTAGTATGTACTTTTGTTTTTATTTAACTGAGTAATTTTCATGATCTTTATTTTATCATTGTTAACCATGTTAGTTGTAAAGCGGTTGTAAAGAAACTACGAAATGATGCCATCATCTCGCGGCGAAATTTGTCTTCTTAATGCCTTGTTCAAACAAAGATCTACCAAAAGCAGTGTGTTTCCCACTTCCCGATACTACAAAAGCTCTCGTCATATGCATCGAAAAGACGGAGCTATCTGTTCAAAAGAAACTACTCTAACCTCTACAATTACCATAGATACAGTTCGGTTTGACTCCTTAGTTTTCGTTTCTCGCCTTAGGTTTTTTCGTTCCCCACATTTTTTTTCATTTCCAGATGTAAAAAAAACCTTCATTTCAATTTGTTTTCATGCTCATCCCTCCTCACATCTGTCTTCGTTAAAAAGAACTAATTTAGATATTTCGCGACAGTCTTCGAATCCTGTGTAATTTCGCTTCTAAGTCCCTGGTAATCTCTATTCACTCATATATTCGAATTCTCATATCAAGTTGGAAATTATTATCACCGTGGAATTAAACAATAGTGACTGTATTTATGTAAACTCCTGTATATAAATGCAAATGTACTGCTTTTGAGGACGAAATCGCCGAAAAGAAACCTTTGTCGAGTAAGTATTCATATTTCCGCTGAAGTGTGTTGAAATGCTGCTTCTATGAAAAGAAAGGAGTAATTGGCGGGGGGCGGGGGGGGGTGACATTTTCCACCAAAATTATTAATATTTTTTGTAAAACCTTTTGACAAAGATGCATTTTTGGAACAATTGATTGGTTCCACTGGTTACTAAGAATTTTGGCGGTTATTTAAAATTTATTTTACAGATGACGAAAATCATGGGTTATATAAATGAGTTTGAGAAGAGGAAGAAAGGAGAAATCTTGCAATCACCGTTTAGTTCTACAAAATAAAACTCTTGATAAAATGGGACATATATCAACAGTCAAACAAGTAGACGGTAGTTAGGTTATCAGAGCATACGATTTAGGCTAGATATAGTTAGCATGATAAACCTCGTTAGGTTGAATATTCTAGGCAAAAAAACTTAGCGACTGTGATGCACGCAATTACATGCAACTGAACAATACACAGAGGGATAGAGCGCCAAAATATTAAAAATTACCACAGTTAGATAAAAAGTGGAAATTAGTCGCCGAAGATTGAATTAATAAACGAGAGGGAGTAATACTGAACTATATAACGACAGTTACGAAATTATGAGAGTACGTTGAAATAAAAAAAATGAGCAATAAATTGTCCTCAAAAGGTCATATGACCGTTAAATTAAACCTGGTAGTTTCCGAGTTTCTTCCACTAACGAACTACTTAACTAGTCTAACCAGAACCACCACAAACACGACAACTGACTGATTGACTGACGGACTAGTTTCAACAGAGAATTTCGCACAAAAGTGTAGCAGTTCCAGTTGCCAGACTCCATGTACCACACAAAAGAAAAAAAGGGGTTCCAAAGAAGGAAAATAAGCAGAAACGTGAGGAAGAAAAAATGATAGTATGGAAGAATATGTGGGTTTATAATTGATACGGGGGATCCCAAATAGTGAATGCATCTGAGTCATTCAGAAGGATTTCAAGCCATATCATAAGTTGTCTCCATCCATTTGTTCTTAGGGCCCCGAAGACCCACCCACCACAACCAAGCAGTCTACGCCTCCCTACGTGGTGTGCGCAAACTAGTTGTCATAGATTTCATGATCTGATTCCATGCTTTGCTTTCACCACCACTAGCTTCTATCCCTGTGTGGGAAGGCGACCACATATCATGCGTAACACATGTCGTAAACATTTCAATCACAACCTCATAGATTAACTTTCCCTTATCACTAATCACTTGACGTCTGACCAAAATATAAGCCCCCCTATTATACCACTTAACATGCACGACAGAACACAGACCAAAGACGGCAAACCTTTTCATGTCTTCTACTTTTAATGGCGAACATGCCTCAAGAGCCATAAATGAAGACCGAGAGAAGTGGTGCGTGGTACACACATCCTTCGATCGATAGCCGGTCAGATATCACATCTACACCAGAGATGATATTTTCTATTGGGAAAAATGAAGGATTAAACAGCTGTTATGCAATAGTGATTGTTTCTCCTCATATAAATCCCTCTTTTATTTACTTCAATGACGATTGGTCCTATTTGGCACGCCAGTGTCAAGCGTGACAACGTGAACCGACAGTGCTTTTCATTCCTCGGAGTTCTGAATGCAGCACAGAACTTCAACTTTTGGAGTTTCCACAGTGGTGTTGATGTTGTTTTTACAGGGGTAGATGGATAGTCTCATACACAATCCTCCGTATTTTTCAGATTTACTGGCGGCTAAGCTGGGTGCAGGAGGTTTAGGAGTGCATCAGTCGAGAATCTAACCCCAAACCTCCAACATAACTGGCTGGAGAGCATTCTACTAAAACAAATGTATCATTTAATAAGTAAACAGAGAGCTAGAAGAAAACTTCAAAAATCTCCCGAATATGCAGCATTATTTCAACTACATGGATCAGGATAGATAGGATATCAAAGTCAGCCAGGACCCAGTATAAAATGGCATATCATCCTTTCTCACGAATCGTGTGATTTATCTTGTGATGCAGTAACTATGTGAATCTATCATTTCTCACGCATACTGTGATATAGTGTGTGATCAATTCATCATTCTTTGTCTCGCCTTGAACTTTGTCGGATCGTCAACCAATCAGGATAGAAACTTCCAGCCAATCAGAACAATCCATTCCCACGGTTGTGAGCCGACTTTATTATGTTAAAGGAATGTATAAATACCATGTTTTGTTTCCTAATGAATGTATAATACAATACAATATCTTATAGTTACAGACCAGCCTTTGTCTTTTTTGGTATTTGCATGGCTCAGTGAATCGGAAGGTACAACGGACAAATAGGCATATTAGCGTACCAGTCGAGTTCATTACCGTTATGGTAATTAACAGGCGCAGACATAACAAAGTGGAGACGGGTTTATTCATTTCAGTGCACTTATAACAGAAAGGTAAGTTACACCTTCGTCACCCTGATATCAGTATGGAAATCTTCTGAATTCAGCACAGATAACAAAATTCGGATAGCTAACACTAATGCTAAGTCAATTCGCACTTCTATTTGGGTCAGAAACCTGGCGAATGCGTCACGAACTGCATTTTCAAAAGACTACTAGGAAATTTTCTCAACAGCTGTCTTCGCGGACTTCATACTGAAGATCAGATGATCAATCAGAGTGGATTAAGAACAGAGGACTCTAAAAACGAAATAATCAAGAACCTATTGCTCAATATATATGATGAAGGGAAAGAAGATGGATCAGACACAAGCTGAGGAGACCCATTCAGAGAGATCGAGGAAAAACGGGTCACCGCTTGAGTGGAACCTGAATAGAAAACAGCGAGTTAGACGTGATTCCGAGAGTGATCTGAGGGAGGCTGAGGAAGTAGGAAATGAGAATATGAAGAGATGTTCTGGTGAAGCCGTATGTTTCACTCAGAACCCTTGAGAATAATAACAATAAAGACAGATGTCACACTGATGACAGGACAAATGAGAAATGCAATCTTCTCTTCGGTGATAAAGAGTACACCACAAATACTTTAAACAAATAACAAAATTGTAAGTGCGTACTTGAAGTCAATTTGGTCGATGGTGACTAGCAATGGAGTCCAGGATGCGCACTTCATCCTATTCTGGACTCGTCATCTGGATGTACATGCATTCCTCCATTTAAATGATGGTTTCCCACCGAGGCTTAAACCTAGCGCCGGTAGCTTCAAACACCAAAGCGTTACCCACAATCTAAATTGAAGTAAATAAATGTATACTTGTCTATTATGTTGACATCAACTAAATCATTGCTAATTTTCGCACTTTGTTTAGACAAGAAGAAAGTTAACCATCGAGATGAACTCCTTCTAAACAGAATGAAGAAGTCAATATTCGGTAAAAAGAAAACCAAAAAGAAATATTGTTTAAACTAGAGGAAGCATTTATAAATACAACACAACGCGTTTCATCAGTGTAAAAATGAAACATAAAAAAGTACTCTGACTGAATTATCAAAACGATTTTTGTTCCTGAAGGCGAATTTAAGTAGTCTACGATGTTTGCATGTAACTATACATACTACTGACTGATAAAAATAAGTAGTCGTATACCGCTCACATCAACTAGTAGTGCTTGCTAACCAGCCAAATCAAGGTGATCTAAACACCAGACGACCGTTTCGCTTATTTCGGGTGGAGCCAATCACTGGTGTACCCGGTTTGACTCAGTTCAAAGAGCCAAATCAGTTTAAACCACTCGACTGTCGACTAGTTCCTGCTGCTAAGCTGTCAAAAGTTAATAACACATTCTGAAGGAAATCCCGCCAATCATAAAATAAGACTTTATTGAAAAATTTAACACTGGCCAACTTACTTTGGATAATTTAAACAGAATTCAACATAAAGCTCTTCAAATTGTTTTGCATTATCCAAGAATACTTGTCCAAGTTGTATAAGATTATCACGACCCAACTGGAGATCAGTATGAAGTTGCCTGCAACAGGAGAAACAGAGCGTATGCAACACAAAGTAACAGTTGTCACCATCTGATCAAAAATCGGGTCAATAATATAAAAGTTAAGAGCGAAATATATCACTTATTTAACACAAGTCGAGTGTTCAGTTACCTAGAAATCGACTGCACTCACGGCTGAATATATATATATAATACTCTAAATTTAAATTCTGAAGTGAAAGACGTAGATTACTGTTAGACAGGCTGAAGACAAACGACAACTCATCCTTACAGGCACTACTCCTCACCAAACTTGTAGAAATTGATGCTCCTTATGAAATTTGAAGCCATGTTATTCAGTGCTGCAACCAGAGAGGTTGTCACAGCTATCCGGATTGCAACTGAACCCTCCTCTGTAAGCCAACCGGAGTGTAATCATCAGAGTTATACATCTAGTCCTCATTAAGAGTACCGAGCAAATTTTACCCATTTGTAATTTCGTCCCAAATACGTTTATTGTTATTTCTGTTTATTAGCCCCTGACTATTTACACGGGTCTACTAGCCTAAATACAAATACACCAAAATTGAAGGTGAGTCAGAGAAGAAATTCAACTCATATCATTCTAATTTTAACTTTAAAAGAAGAAAATAATACTTTTAAGCTCTTTGGTGTTTCTATGCTCAAAAAAATTGATAGCACAGTAGAAAGACTGATATTTAGAAAGTATTTACCAATCGGACAGTATGCACACATTAAGAGCTTTGTTCCCTATTTTTGTAATAAGGTGAATTTCGCCAAAACATTGTCGAATGGAGCACAGAAGTTGAAACTAAGTACATAAGACCTCGACTTTATCGATCAATAGCCTAAGGAAATTAGAGTCACCAATAAACCCGTCAAAACCATTTCAAAGCAAGCCTGTACATATCAGTTTACCACTTAAACGAGATGAATGTAAAAGAAGTGGTCAAACAAACAGAAAGAAAAGCTGAAGTTAAAGTGACGAAAAAAACTTCGATGACAATACATCTTATAGAATTGAATTTTTGATTTTCCCGTCGATTGTTTGGATCGAAGTGCTCGGTCTCAGGTTGACATGTCGGCTTTTTGTGCAGATGCTTCGACGATGTCTGGGCATTTAATTAGTATACAATTGGTGGATGGTGGCTAGCAGTGGAATCCAGGATCCGCATTTCGTCCTATTTGGGACTCGTCAGCTGGATGTACCTGCATTTCTCAGTGAGTGATGACGTTCCCACCGAAGCTCGAACCCAGTGCCCATAGTTTCAAACGCCAAAGCGTTATCCACTAGACCACTTGGGCCACGAGAGCCACCTCTTGTGTAACGGGTCATATTAATTATTGAATTGAATTTTTGATTTTCCCGTCGATTGTTTGGACCGAAGTGCTCGGTCTCAGGTTGACATGTCGGCTTCTTGTGCAGATGCTTCGACGATGTCTGGCTCTCGTGGCCCAAGTGGTCTAGTGGATAACGCTTTGGCGTTTGAAACTATGGATACTGGGTTCGAGCTTCGATGGGAACGTCATCACTCACTGAGAAATGCAGGTACATCCAGCTGACGAGTCCCAAATAGGACGAAATGCGCATTCTGGATTCCACTGCTAGCCACCATCCACCAATTGAATACATCTTATAAACTACTGGCACGAGTTTGACTCTATCAAGTCATTCTCTATATTGTCAGTAGATAAAAACACCGAAAGATGCCCGTAATTACAGAGGCTTGTATAATTAGGGCGTATGAACCCGGTCTCTGTGCGTCCACAAGGATACAGTGATCATTTTGAATCCATCACGGTGATATCTTTCGTTTTTGTTAACTATTATTAATACCATTTTGTTTCATTCCAAACCTCACGATTAGTATTGTCCTAGTTGAATCTATCTCTCGTCAGTATCATTATCATAACTTGTTCCATTATAATGTTACTGTTTGCCATCGTCAACATTTTCAAATTTTCTATCTGATAACTAACTATTTATTACAGTGACGCAACTCAACTCTAATTCATTATTGTCATACTGGCGTCTTACTGATTTCTGGTTGTCGTCTAACCTGTCTAGAGTGAGCCTCCAGACATCTTACTACAACCAACTGATTACTTGAAAACTTTTCCCTCCCCCCCCCCACCCCAAACTGAGACAGACACAATAATCAGATTTAACTGCAACAAAAACAATCTTTTATTATTACAAGTTGATCACGGATTGATATCTCAGTCAGAGAACCATTGAAAACCAGCACTGGAGTACTGGACAGCTGTTTCATCCTAGTGCTTGGGAATCATAGTCAGTACGCCCCCACTTGGGTTCGAACCCAGGACCTTCCTGTTACAAGGCAAACTCGTATAGCATTCAGCCACTAGGACTTAATTCAATGGCCAGCCCATGAATTCTAACTTCTACCACCGATGACATTGGTTGGTGGTTGCGCTAAATCACGAATCGGTGAAAGTTAGAATTCATGGGCTGGCCATTGAATCGGGTCCCAGTGGTTGAGTGGTATACGAGCTTGCCCTGTAGCCACAGAAGGTCCTTGGTTCGAACCATGGTGGCGCGTGCGTACTGACGATGATTCCCAAGCACTAGGATGAAACAGCTATCCAGTACTCCAGTGCTGGTTTTCAATGGTTCTCTGACTGAGATATCAATCCGTGGTCAAACGCATAAAAACAAATCTAATCCTTACAAACCAACTATAGAAAATGTCTTATTATCCCAAAAACATGGTATATGCAGTTTACAAAAACCTTAGGAATTCAAACAACTGGAGTACAGAAGACCGTCCAGGAGGGATACGGAAGCAGCGAAGAACTCTAGAAACAATTCAACCAAGAACCTGTTGCTCAAAAAATATCCCACAAAAATCAAGATGGATTGAACACATAATGAGGAAATAGTTGAATGACATGTTGCATCCAGCCATCGGTCGACCGGAACACAAATGAAGAACAGCGAGTTGGAGGTGGGTCCGGGAATGATATGCAGGAGATAGTGTGAGTAGTAGATGAGAGACTATGCTCAAACGTAGAACCAGCTAAAGAGGGGACTGCAGAGAACAGATGAAGTGCAAATGTTTCGCTGGAGCCCCATCATGTTCCACTCAGAACACAAAGGAACAATAATAATAACAATAAGTGCTCTGAAATCTTGTGCATTTCTTTTTGTATGTGTATGTCGAAAAGCCTGGACTAATGTCCTCACATTGTGCGTCATTGGTTCACACTCGCTAGCCAAGTAAATGGTTGAGGTTCAAGTCCTAGCCGACACAATAAGCCCGAATAAGATAACAAGGCTCCAAGTGCAATCACAACCCTGTCAAGCCAACCCAAGTGCTTTTGAAACTCAGAACGATAAGGTAAAATTTTGAACAAAGCTAACACCATTTAACATGAATAAGAAAGAGTAAAAATTTATCAACATAAAAAAATTCAAAATTTTATCTGACATTTTCAAAACACGCTGGGGGGGAATTAAAACAAGACCACAATGAACGTTTGAACAGTCAAAAGAAAGACACAGAAATGTAACGCAAACCACATAATACATCATTTGAAAATAATAAGATTTTTACAAAAATTAAATTGCTTTTTTTAAAAAACAAACATATATCAACTTACGCATGAAAAACTCGTAAATCTGGAATTTTGTAAAAGAGAACGTCTAACAGTTGTGAATTCACACCAATGTCATTCTCTTTTAAGCGTAGTAAATAACCCTATGAACAAATAGAGAGGGGAAGAGCAAAAGAGTAAGTGAGAGAGTAAACGACAGATGAAAACTGATTATTATAATTATTAATATTATTGCTATTATTATTATATCCTTTAATTCCTAGAGGAACATAGGGCTTCAGCTCCGCATCTACATTGCCTTCGGTTTTCTGCCAACTTTTTCACCCTGCTCCAAGTCTGCCCACATGCTTTCATCTCCTCTTCACATGATCTCTTCCATATCACCCTCGCACTGACGACCAACTCGTCAGTCCCCATTTGGGTCCCACTGGAGAGAGAGACTGTCGTGTGATGTCACTTGATGGTTTGTTTCCTCAGAGTATGACCAGCCAATCCACCTCCATTTATTCCTGCATATTTGTTGCACAACCGGTTCCTCGTTGGTTCCTCCATTGCCAGGGATACCTGTTGCTGATCTTTTCTGGTAGCCCATCTGATCTTAAGTGGTATTGAGAGAAGACAACTGTTAATCAAGGTCTGTAGTTTGTTTGAGATGCTCTTTATGACTCGCTGGCCAAGTCTCTGATCCGTATAATGAGTAACACTGACTGACTTCACATTGGAGTTGAAAATCCGGATCTTATTTTTGATGGTGAGTGCTGTTGACCTCCACACAGACTTGAGAGTAATGGAAGTTTGTCTTGCTTTTCCGATTCTTGCTTTGATATCCTCGTCAGTTCCATTGGCCTGTAGTTGGAACGATGCTTCCCAGATAGGTGGGTAGGTGAAGGAGGTTGTTTCTTTCAGGTCCCTCCCATTTATGCTGGCTGACTGTCGTCTGTTGTTGTTGTTGCTGTTGGCCGAGAATCTTCATCACCTCTGTTTTATCTATGTTCACTTGAAGTCCTGTCTTCTGTGGATGCTTCTTCTGCCAGCTTGTTGCTTTTCACTTGCATATCTTCCAGTTTGTGGGAAATCAGACTGATTACAGACAGAAAAATGTATCCTTTCGGCGATTTCATCTCCAGAAGCTGTACACAGTCAGACGTATTTCTCTATACATCTATTATTACAACAACAAAAAAAACAATTAGTCACTTTGATAAATTTGAATAAGTCAATCAGAAGACAAATTTCGCAAGATAATATGAGTTCAAGTATGCAGTTGACTGTAACGACAGAAGACAAGGACCAGGCAACAGATCGTTTATTAAGGAAATCAACACGTATTTATATATTTCCATGTACATTATTATAGACTATTGTAAGCAAACAAACACAGTCTTCTGATTGGTGGTTTCTCGCTGAAAGTTAATCTTTCATCTCTTTGTAGCTGTTTCTTGAATCTATATGCTAACTGTATCCGCCTACATAAAGTCTTTGTTCTTATTTTTCTCACAATCAATATTTGCGACATAATAAACATTGACATAAATTAATGTCTACCAATTTGTCTAGCAGCCAGCTCTCACCACAGGCAGCTCAAAGACTTCAGTCAGCCATCAAACGCACATTCTACGCACATTTCGAACATTTTCGATCCCTGTACCTGAAATTAAAGGACGAAATTCTGTGGACTCTACTTAAAACTCAATCTATAAGTTCATCTGTAGTTGCCGTAACACTTATATAGGTAGAACCGATAGAATGTTCCAATGTGGTCGTCGAAAAGAATATGTTCCAAAATGGTTATTAAAATACACAGAAAAGCTCAATGCAATTAATTTGAATCGAAATCCATCATCATCCATTACAGAGCCTTTATTAATGTCAGGTCATGAAATCAATATTAATCACTTAATTGAATTTTAGATTTTCCAGTGGATTGATTAGATGGGAGTGCTCGGTCTCAGGTTTAGATGTTGGCTCCTTGTGCAGATGCTTTAACAATGTCTGGTCATGTCACTTGAAGTCAATTGGTTTATGTAGCGGAATCTAGGATGTCAGTCACCATCAACCAAAAACAATAGACTTCAACCTTCGCTTACTATGATGGACTACTTGACCTATTTAAAAATATGATTAGTCACTAGTATGCACTTTTGTTGTTTTAGATAACTGAGTGATTGTCATGCATTTTATTATTATTGTGAACCATGGTAGTTGCAAGGCGATTGTAGAGAAACTACGATATGATATCATCTCGCGAAATTCATCTTCTAAATGCCTTATTCAAATCTACTATTATATAACTTCACACCATAATCGAGATTAAAAGAGATAATACTTTTTAAGTTGATAGAAAAGTTTGAAGGTGTAAATATAGATTATAAGCAATGACTGATTAGAAGAGCTTTTATATCTTAACAAATATCCTCGCTCACAATAATAACCCATCACGTTTCATGGGGAAGAGAATGATGCTCAGGAAGGCTTCGTGTGCTTTTGGAAGTGTTTGGGCGGTTGTTACTTCCCGGCTGCCCACACCATGGAAGTTGATTGATTCTTCGGGTACCTGAAACAGAAAGAGGGTTAGTGTTGCGTGACCGCAGAGCCCAGGGGACAACTGATTGAGGCCGGTCACACACGGCCTTTGTGAACTGGTTTCTGGGATTGTTTCCGTATTAGTAAACTTACCACCGGTTACGGACCACCGTAGGGTAAGTCAGGAGGTACAATTTTCGAGGTCGACCTTTTCTAACCCCCTCTCTCCATAGCAGAGAGACAGCATAGACGGCTAGCGTGCTGGTCATCTGAGGGAAAAACACCTCACTGCTGTTACACCCCTGTTCCCCAGCAGTACGACTTCGCCCTCAGACCCCAAGCAAAGTGTAAGAAAGACTCTTACACAACGATGGTAACTGCTTTTAGTCTAATCGCTATATCCTAACAACCTTCCTGGCATGGTAGGACCTGCAGGAACATTGGTTCCAGCCAGTGCAGCTTATTGGGTCATTGTGATGTGCAAGCCCGACCACCACGTCAAGGTAGCAGCTATCGGTCAGGTGGTCGTGGGGAAGAACATGAAACCGAAACCCCAAAATTTTCCTCTGTAAATTGTTGAACAATCTGTATTATTATTATTATTATTATTATTATTTTTAAATAGCAGCAGATTAGCTGAATGAATGGATTTATGTCCAGTAAGTGAAAGTGAACATCAGATTCAACAGGCATCAATTTATTTTACTAACGAGCAGAACAACCCACGGTTTAAATCGATAAGTTAAACATTGTGAAATTGACTTCTGAAGTGAAATAAATCCACTTTCTTATGGGCGAAAAGTAAAAGCACAACATTCAATCATATGATGAAAAGGTAATAAAAGTTGTTCAAATGTGGGAAAATTATTTGATTGATGATAGGAAACAAGTCTTATCATTAGTACAAAAAGTTAGGAAAGAAGGGAATGTATCTAGTGAGTGGGGGTAAAAATGCAACACACAAAAGCTGGATGAAATGCATAAACCTATGCCTAACAACATACTTCCAATTCAACGACCAAATATATGAACAATTCAAAGGAACACCCATGGGATCGCCAATATCAGGTTTGATTGCAGAAGCAGTGATGCAAAAACTCGAAAACACAATTCTACCAAAGATCAAATCCAAGATTTGGATACGCTACGTCGACGACACATTTGTAATAATCAAAAGAAACGAATCAGATAAAACCCATAACTTAATAAACAACGTCTACAACGACAACAAATTCACAAGAGAAAAGGAATCCGAGAATCAAATCCATTTTTGGATCAATCAAGCGAACAACCACAGGAGAATTAGAAACTCGAGTTTATAGAAAATCAACTCACATAGACCAAATCCTGAATTACAACAGCAACAACCCAATAACACACAAAAGGAATTGCATACAAACACTATTCAAGACGGCTGGCCAGGACTCATTGCAGCATTCACACCTCAATGAAAATTGAAGAAAAATATCTCATGGACGTCTTCCAAAAGAATGGATATCCACGGAATTTCATCAAAAGACATATACGTCCCCAAGACAACCTATCAAACGAAAAGCCCCCAAGGAAAGCACAAAGAAAATCGCCTTACCATATATAAAGGATATCTCAGAAATCACTACAAGACTCTTCAAACCTTTAGGAATTGACGTCGTACACAAACCAACAAAACTACTTCACTCTGTTGGCTATATGTCAACCAAAAGACTCAACAACGAACGAAGATAAAACCAACATCATCTACAAAATAAATTGTAACAACTGCGAAAAACACTACATTGGTCAAAGTGAACGTCCCCTTCGTCTTCGTATCCACCAACATAAGCTAGCCGTCAAAAAACAGGATATCCACTCCCTCGCTCATATCACTACATACAGACAACCACGGACATCAATTCGACTGGGATAACCAGCGTTCAAATATTAGACAGAGGAAACAACAAGAATGCCAGAAAATTTTTAGAAGCCCGCTTGGGATTCCAGTGAATCATCAATCAATACACACATCGAGATAGACTAAATTTATCAACCGATAAGAAAGAAACCTCACACACAAAGGGTCAAAGTTCAAGTCAAAGAAACAACCAGTTCCAATACAAGTAGCCACCTAGATGGTGTGAAAACACACAAAAACAAACAATCATGTCCAAGGTCACCGACCAGGAGAGATGATTAATAAACTCGTGGAGAAATCTAAAAGCTCACTTCAAATTGAAGTTTGCACTGAAGATGTCGCCTAGTAGGGCGATGAAAGCTTCGCAAATTAACCAGCCAGCCACCTCAGAGAACACAACCACTTGAGCTACAAATCATATTTTGATGTATGCACTCTTAACAAATCTTTTATTTACTCTCCCTCAAATGCCATGCTTCCCAGCATCACTTGTGTTAATAATAGCCCCTTTCCAGGTTTTAACACAAATGATGTTCAAAAGTGCCTCAAGTCTCTAAACCCTTCCCAGAGCTTAGGTCCCGATTATGTACCTAGTATTATTTTTAAAAAATGTTCTGATATTCTGTGTCACCCTCTTACTGATCTATTTAACAAATCTTTTTCCGATAATATTGTGCCTGCCGTTTGGAAGGACATTAAAGTTGTACCCATACCTAAATCTTCTACTGG